ATTTCTTTCAGATTAGGTTTCACACGTTTGCTGCTAGTCCTTCCGAATTTGTTCAAAATAGGATTCTGCGCATCTAAGAAAGCAAAGTGGCCTCGTTAGCAACGTACCGGAGTTTGCGCAATTTATTATTAACTTCGTTTTATGTGCTCTCGTAAACAACAAACTTGGCTCATTATTGGAGATTTTCTCTAATCCAACTGAGTGAGAATTTTATCTTCTTTCTTTGCTAGGGGCCGCTGATTTTCGAATTAGTACATAAAGACTTCAGAGTCTGATTTCTATTGTTTTCGTGTTTTCACCATTTAAAGGCTTTTGAGATAATTTTCGGTGTTTAAAAGAAGCAAATGGTTTTGGATGTTAAGTTGGCTCAATTATGGATTTTTTCCAAAGCAGGAGACTTTTCTGCGTTTTATTTGGTTTTCAAAGTCTTTCTAGCACTGCAATCCCTTCATTTCCAACTTCGCTAGCCTTCCACATCACTTATGTACTCTAGAGCTGTGATTAGAAATGTCCCACAACGGCTTCAAAACTACTTATTATGCCTTGGAATCAGACATCACGGCTATAAACTATTGCAAATTCAGCTCTTTCAAACTGAAAATTTACACTCAGTTATCTGCTTAGTTGCACTTCTACTTTTCTGGAAATTTTTTTCAACAACTGCAAATTAGAAAGTCTATACAATTTGCAGCATCCAGCTGCTCCCTTATCCGAACGCTTCCGTATTGACCCTAGCAAACGTGCACATCTCACACTTCCTATCAATTTCTCTTGCTAAACACTTGAGCAAAAAATTTACAAAATTGCCATTATTTCAGCGACAGCACCGCAAAGATGAGATGCCGAATGCGGAAGCAATTATTTATACAGCGAAATAAGGTGGGTATCTAGGGATTTATGGAACAGATCGATAAAGAACGATAGTTGTTTAAAGTAGTGCTATTGTTCCATACTTCCTCAAACCTGAAAATAGTAGTTTGACCAAATTTGAAAAGATCTCAGATAGAAACATAGATGAATATCATCATGTAGCTAGTATTTCTTAGGTTTTCTGTGACTTTAGTGAATGTGAATGATTAATCGCAAAAAAGATTAGTGTTCTGAGATTTACACCTTCCATATACGATAAAATATTCCAGGTTTGTGATCTGTCGCTGATTTTGGGCATTGCTGGTTTACTCTTCGTCATTATCGACGCCGAACTCACAGCACTTTCACCAAATACTCATATTACAAAGGTAAATAATGATTCATGGTGACCCTTTGAATCTCAATCATGCTTATGAAAATTGAGGAAGACGAGCATTAGGCCCATAATCGAAAGGGCCCCGAAGGGTATTCTTGGTATTTTCGTGTGTATCAAATTGCATAAACATCTCGAAAAGTTACGGATTAAATCAAGCTTTTGTCTCAAGAAAAATGCTATTGATTAATTTACTTGATAGTAAATTGATTAAGGAACGGAATAATTTGTGGACATAGAATGTGGACAAGGTTTTCCATAAAGCTCGGTATTTTTCATTGAAAAAACAATTTTTTCAGGGTCACAATGTGTCGTTATTCTTACGCTCCTTAGCCGTGCTCACAACAATTTGCCTCATGTGTTGTCTCATCAATTACCATGCCATAGAAGTAAGTTTCAATTTATAGCAAATAGCAAAAATTCGAAGTCATTATTTTTTAACAACCTGAAAATCCGAAATTATTAAAATTTATCAGTTTTGATAAAAGGGCCCTAGCTTAGTTGATTTTTTTGTTTTGAAAATGTGACCTTTAAGTATATGTGAGAAATCAAAAATCTTTTCTTTTTTTTCAGGTAAAAATAGCACTGATTGACTCAGGCGCCGATGATTGGCGTGTAGCAGTTAGTACGGAGCGTG